TATATATATATATCTCATACAATTTCCATATCATTTGTATTGTATTACTTTTTTAGGTTGCACGATGCAAAACTTTCTTATTTCAAAACGTATATTTTCCGCAAACATTTGTTGAGATATTTATCTCTTTATAAAACTTCAGGTAAAACTTCATGTAACTTTCATGTAGCATTATTTGATTCATTTTTTATTTTTTTTTATTTTTTAATATTTATACGTATTACATCGAACTTGTTTTTTTTTGTACTATTTTATTTTATTCTACTTTCTTTTTTTATTATATTGAGAAAATGTATTTTTAGGTTAGTTCGTATAAAGTTGAAATGTTTGTTGAGATTTTGATATAAATTTAATTATATTAAAAATTATTATTTAAAATTATTCTGTATACTGATGATACTTTTTTTTTTAAATTTTTTTTATTGGTAACGATACATTTTTATTTCGTTAAATGAAATTCGAACGATTGCATTTGCCTAATATTAAAATTATTATTTTATAATAATATTAATATAATATATAATTTTTTTAATATATAATTACAATATAATTAATAAATAAAATAAAATATAATAAATAGTAAATAAAATAAAGTATAATAAGTAAATTAAATAAAATATAATTAGTAAATTAAATTAAATATAATTAGTAAATAAAATAAAATATAATTAGTAAATTAAATTAAATATAATAATAAACATATTTTATAAATTTAATTATATTAAAATTATTTCATACACTGATCGTATTTTTTATATATTTTTTTTTTCTTTATTCATTGACAAGGATAAATTTTTATTTCTTTAAATTAAATTCGAATAATTTTATTTTCCTAACAATTCACTTTCTTATCATTTTTATCTCACCATCAAACTCACCCTATCCCTTCCTTTCTTTTGTATTATTATTATTATTACTTTTTTTTTTTTTTTAATATTCAAACACCTTTTTGTCCTTTTCCATTTCTTTATTTAAATTCTTTTTTCCTTCTTTTCACGCGTCGTTCGATTACGTACTTTCCACTTAAAAAGGCCAGCCCTTTGAACTGTTTCTACGGAAACGTTTTTCGTTGTCTTTGAATTATGATTTACGAGAAACGTCGGGAAACGAGTTGTACACGTGAAAAGAAAGAAGAAAAAAAAAAGATAAAGAGAGAAAGAGAGAGAAAGAGAGAGAAAGAGAGAGAAAGAGAGAGAGAGAGAGAGAGAGAGAAAGTGGGAGTTTGCTTTGACGGAACAAAACAGCGACATTTTTTAAGTCTATTCTACTTTGACGATGTTAAACTGGTAGTACGATCGTAAAGGGCGTTGATTTACATCGCTTTGACTGCAGAGTCAAATGGATCCCTCTCCCCCACCCTTCTTCTAACGTTGACGTATCCCTTTGCTTCGAGAGAAATAAAGAAAGAAATAAAGAAAAGAAAAAAAAATAAAAAGAAAAAACCATAAGCAACAGTGAGAGAAAAAAAAAAGAGAGAGAGAGAGAGAGAGAGAGAGAAGGAAGTTGTTACAACGTGTTGTTGAAGAAAAATAAAAAAAAAAATATAAAATTGTGTGTTAAGGAAAAATATATATTCGCGTTATGATGGTGTATAAATAAATCGAACGGAATTTAATTTACATAGACAAACAAACGAAAAATATAATACGAAAGGTGGAGTATATTTTTATAGGGAAAATATTTAAAATATATAAAAATTGTATTGTTTGTGATTGAACGAATATGTATGTGTGTGTGTGTGTGTGGGTGTTTGTAAACTCGTATAATATGTTAGAGTTGTAAGAAGATTATTTTTTTTCATGTATTACTATAAGCGTTTGGAATTTGTATTATTTAATCATTAAAATAATTTAATTATTTTTATATGTTATATTAATGTTTATTTAATTTATTTATTAATTTAATTAATAATTGAAAATTAAATAAATTTAAATATATAATTATATATCATTCAAAGTATGCGCACATGCATGCATTATTGTTATGTTATATTAATATTTATTTATTATTAATAATTTAAATTAATATATATTAAATCAATCTATATTTAATTAAATATAATTAATAATTTAATTATTAATTAAAAATTAAATTAAATTAAATATACAATTACTTATCATCGAAAGTATGCACATATGCATGCACATATGCACGGATTTGCAATAAAAATGTCACGTAAATGTTAAAAAATAAAACGAATAATTACAAAATATAAATTTTGAATTATTGTTTTAGCAATACTCTAAATTCCTATGTAAAAATTATATATATAAAAAAAACTATTTAATTATTAAATATAATTAAATATTAAATCTAATTAATAATAAATTATTCCACCCCTACAAAACCCTAGAAATAAAAGTATTTCACCACTTAAAGTGTTAAAAGGTTTGATTTATTTTTTATTGAATCTTCCCACGTAAAAATTATATAATAAACAAAAATCCTTTAGTTATTAAATATAATTAATTATTTAAATCGAATTAATAATAAATTATTTCACTCCTACAAAATACTTAAGTCTAAAAGCATTTCACGTATTTTATGTATTTCAAGTATTTCAAGTATTTTAATGGGTTAAAAGGGAATAAATAATTAAAAATCAAACTGAAGAAATTTTAATAAATGTTATAAACACTCACATGACCGAGTTTTTCTTCCTTCCGCCTTTTGGGATCACTTTCAAGGTCAGGCGTACGTGCACGAAACTTTTCAGGTGGTGAAACAGATTGTCGTAGTCTCTCGTCGGTAAGTGCAATTGGTTTTCTATCTTCGGGCGTTTCCGCAGCCGCCCTATGTTGTTGCAAATCGGCAGGTTTTAAAAGGGCCTGAGCTTGGGCCTGAACCGCTGCGGCCGCGGCAGCGGGATGGGCTGGTGGGGCCAGGTGAGGTGGGACTCCTGCCGCTGCTGCTGCGGCTGCTGCACCGGCAAAACCCAACAATCCACCTGGTGGTAATCCACCGACCACAGCACCGTGTGGCAATTGTTGCGCGTGTATTTGTTGCTAAATTAAAAAATAAAAAATAAAATAATTTTTATCTAATAATTATTATAATATTATTTAATTATAATTTGAAAATTTATATAACTATAAATTATTATTTTATTATTATCATTTAATTGTAAATTAATTAAATTGTAATTATTATAATATTATGTACATTTTAACTTTATATCATTAAAATATAATTAAATATAATAAATATTAATTATACAATAATAAATATTATATAATTAATTAAATATATAATTTAATAATAATATATAAACAATTTTGAATATTTTTACGAATTTGTAATAGTTCATATTGAATCGAATGATCAATCAAACTTACCAACAATTGTTGTAGTCCTTGCTGTTGTTGTTGCTGTTGCATAAGATACATTTGGTTGTTATTCTGTTGTCATTAAGAAAAAAAAAGAAAAAAAAGAAAAGATATAGAAAAAAAAAAAAAAAAAATTAAAAACAAAAAGATATTGGGATCTCTAGCATTTGAATACGCTATCTGGTAGCTAAATTCAAAATTAGAGTAGATAGGTCGAATTGCTACACCACGTGGGATCTCTAGCACTTGAATACGCTATCTGGTGGCTAAATTCAAAATTAGAGTAGATAATGCTACGGCACGCCCCTGCCAGAGATCCCAATATTAGGTATACAGCTTTGCTTTCGTGATTTTCCTACAGATGGCTTGTAGGGAAAATGGCGGAAGCAAAAAGTTGTACACTTAACAAAGGGATATGGGTTTATGAGAATGAAATAATATTAATAAAATATTATTATTGTGCTTATTGTTCGAAATAAGTTCGTGCCGATTTTGCCGAAAGATTGAAACGCAACACATTTAAGTTTTTTTTGCATACAAGGTGCCATATTGTTCTGCAACCTTTCCTCCATCTTTAAGAGTAACCTCAAAATTTCATCCTACCAGAACTTTTCAGGTTTTTTTTTAGTAAAACACACTTTATGCTACCTACTGTAAAATCAGCACGAACTTTTTGGAAAATCAGAAATTTATTGAAATAATTTTTATTTAATTTAAAAAAAGATATGAAAATAACTTACCCCTATGATGGCGTTCAGCTCGGACATGGTAACTTGTTTCGCCCTTTCTACAGCATTGGCCACCTGCTGCTGATGCTGTAAGCCATGCTATCATTATCGCGTCGTGGTCGCACTCGATCGTACCGTTTATAAAAACAATTGGTAAAAAGAAAGTCAAAGACTCACCTCTTGTGCCAAAAATGGCAGTAATTGGACGATTATCGCGTTCAACCTCTTTGCTATCTCCGTCTGAAATTTAATTTTTAGTTTCTTTTTTTTATCTTTATCTTTTTTATTTTATTTTATTTTATTTAAATATATCATACGCATAGAAATCAAAATCACCCTTTCTACCACCATTTGGTCAAATATATACTCAAACATAAATTTTAAATAAAATATATTTTATTTTATATAATTAAATAAATATAATAATTTAATAAAATATATTTTTTGATATTTTATTTAAATACATTTTATTTATTGTTATTAAATATATAAAAATATACATTTATTTAAATATTTAAATAAATTATAAATATAAAATAATTAATATATTTTTATAATAATTAATTTCTATGTTTTTTTTTGTTAAAAAATTATTTAAAATTAATTATATAAAATATTAAACTCTATACGTTAGAATTTTATGTTTAATATTTAAATAATAATTCTTAAAATAAATTTAAAATAAAAAAAAAAGGAAACTCCGTTTCACCCATTTATCCAATCTTCCTTTTTGTGTCTTTCACTATTTTGTTTGAATAAAAAGAAATTATCTTTCCACGATGATTATAATTAGCAACAAATAAAATTTGTTTTTTTTTGTTTTTGTTTCGAAGAGTTTCGAGATAGGTACCTTTCCTTCATTAACCTTTTTCTTTTATTTATCCGTAAAAAAACAAAAGTATAAAAAAGAAGAAACAAGAAGAAAGATAAAGTCTCGAAACCTTTTTGTTCCTACCATCCTTTACCCTTTACTCTTCACCGATCTGTCCCTTTTCCTACCCTCAAGTCTTGATATCAGACGGAAACAACGAATTCTCCCGGGCAAGTGCTTATCGATTTCTTTTTTTTTTCCCTTCTTTTTATACATTTCCCACGGCTCTTAAAGTTTCTGGGTCATCTAAAAGTGGCCTCGTTAAGACCATCGTCGTCATAGTCATCTCGGTGCTAACAAAATTCAAGAACGCGTAATGCCTTACTGAGTGAATCCTGTCTTTTCATTATTATTATTATTATTATTTTATTATTATTTATTTAGGATACAATTGGTGTTTGTGACAATTCTATCGAAACAAAAAGAGAAACAAAATATATTGAATGATTATTTGAACAATCATTTAAATAAATAAATATTATTTGGAAAAATATTATGTGTTGCATATTGTGTTTATTATTTAAATAATTTATTTTTATTATTATTAATATTAACAAAATATATTAATTTATATATTATATATTTAATATATTGAATTTATATTGAATATTATAAAATATATTATATATTAATATTCTAAATTATAAATATTAATTATTTAATTTATATAGAGTAGTTATTTAATTTATATATTAATTAATAAATATTATAAATTATATATATATTAATTTATTTTTATATATTAATTATTAACTATTAGAAATTATATATATTATAAATTAATTTTTATATTATTATATTTTAAATTATTATTTTTTATATATTAATAAAAAAAAAAAAACAATTTTTTAAATAAATATTTATTTATCAATAATTAATTCAATAACCACACATAGAAAAAAAAAAACACATCAATTAATCGAATCTAAAAACCACACGTCGTAATTCCAACCCCTTTTTATCTAAGTTATCCAAAGTATGCCATTGAAACCTAATTCCCTGTTTTCCACCCTCTTTCTCCGTCTCATTCTACCCTATTGCTCCCTTAGCACTGATTATAACGTAATTACGAATATTATCGAGACCTGGTTAAAAGTTAAACTCGAACTTTCTTCCCTAGTTTCGCATTCTTTCTTGCGTTTCCATTAGAATTGAAAAGGGTGAATGAATGAGTGAGTGGGTGGAGTGATGTGGGATGGTATGGGCTGATGGTTGTTCATGAGATTGATAAGAAAGAGAAAGGGCAATATCTCGAAGAAATCGAGAAAGAGAAAAAGATTTAGCAGACCAATAGGGTGAAAGAGGGTTAAGGGTGAGATTAAGGGGTAAAGAAATGAGTAAATTTAGAACTCAACGAAAAAAAACATATTGGCAGGTATACGAGGGCATTCTTGTGAGCAGGGGTGGAAGAAAAAGATGGAGTAAGAGAGAGAGAGAGAGAGGGGGTGGAAATATAGGAAAACTAGAAATATGAAGGATTGAAAGAAAGAAAAAGATGAGAAACTGTCGCGTCCATGTTAGTTCGATTCGACGTCGCGTCGTGCGTGGCACCCGAAAAGGGTTGAATGAAAAAAAAAAAACCAGAAAAAGAATGGTTTGGATGGTAGGGTGGAAAAACAACAACAACGACTACGACTACGACTACGACTACGACTACGACTACGACTACGACTACGACTACGACGAGGAAAAAAGTTGGGACGTACAAAATCGTCTCTGTGGTAGGAGGAAAATAGAATGTGAGAAAGAAATAAAGAAATAAATAGAGAAAGAGAATGAAAAAAAAAGGTAAAACACTTGCGTGGGTATGCGTGAGTATGCGTGCGTAACGGAGGAGGGGGTGTAGAGAGGAGAGGAGAGGAGAGGAGGGAATTGGTTGGTCGGATAGGAAAAGAGGGATGAAGAGAAAATTCATGCGACACAAGCCCGACGCGGCACAAGTGTTGTCCCAGAGTAGTACAGGGAGGGGGTGGGTGGGGGATGAGGGAGAAAAAAAATGGTTATTCCTTCTCGGAATGGTGGTGGGTGGTGGGTACGATGCACATGCACGTTTTCCCGCAGAACGGATGGTCCACCACTACCAACCCACCACTACTGGTCTACGAGTTGGAAGAGTAAACGAGAAAGAGAAAAAGGTGAAGCGAGATGGACTGGACCTGGACCTGGGCTTCCCCTTACCCCTTTCCAACCCCCTCAGTCTAAAAGGGGAAGAGATGGCCGAACTGCAGGCGGAGGAGGAATACAGGAGGAGGTTGCAGGTAACATTGAGATTAGCAACGGGTAAAAAATCGATGTCATCGCCCCCAACCCAAGCGCATATACACCAGCCCACCTCAGTCACCCTAGCCACCCCCCCTCCCCACAACACCCCTTTTGCTAGCACCCAACTACCTAACCACCCAACTCGACTCAACTCGACTCAACTCGACTCTCTGTGCAAGCCTGCTGCTTGCCTGCCTACCTATCTACCTATCTACCTATCTACCTACCCCTGCAGGGTACCCCAAATAAAAGAACTCAAATATACGCGTCTGCGTCTTTCGTACGTGTGAGACGAGGACGCACCGAGTGTTGCCACTGCCACTGAGGCTCGGGGATTCGTTCGTTCGTTCGTTCGTTCGTGTGACCGACCTCGAAGCGTAGGATTCGTTTGCTGCTAGAAAGAGAAAGAGAAAGAGGAAAAGAAAAAAACAACCCTCCCAAAAAAAAGTGAAAGAGGGGGAGAGAAAGTGTGAACGAAAGAGCGAAAGCAAAGTGAAAGAGAAAGAGAGAGAGAGAGATGATGGGATGGAAGTAGGAAGGGAAAGCCAGGTAGGGGTGGAATGGGGATGAGGTGGGGGGTGTCGGATGGATGGATGGTTATACGCAACGTATATCTGTATATGCATGTGTATGTGTGTGTATCTGTTCGAATAGGTCAGTGTGTTCGTGTTATGTCCGTGAGAAACTGGAAAGGCAGCTTGAGTTATGTGCAATTGGTCAACCTGCACATTTTTTATCGGACGTCGAGTATAGCCGCGATGGAGAAACGCTAGCCGACCCCTCACCCCTTGCTAGTCCACCCTCCCTAACCCCCTCCTCCTCCTCATCTTCATCCCTTTCTGTCCAACCCGTTTCTCTCAAACCCCCTCACAACTCCTCCAATCTCTCACCCCTTCTTTCCTCCCACCCACCCTCGTATATTCCAGGGAAGCTCGACGAACCCTACTACTACACCACCATCACCCCATCGTTCGACGATCTCTTTTTATTTGGTCTCTCCCTTGTCTTTTTTTTTCTGCATTTTTTATTTTTTATCAAAGTGAGTGTGAGAGAGAGAGAGAGAGAGAGAAAGAGAGAGAGAAAGGAAGAAATCGAAAAACAACCGAAAAAAGAAATTGCATATCCCATCAAAAAGGGATGAAAAAAATAACATATGTCTGTGTGAGTTGCTATGTTTGTATGTATGTGTATGAACTTAGGGGTGGTTTCTTATAGGAAAGAATGAAATTGTTAAATGTTGTTTGCTTGATTTTTGGTGTACACATTATTTGGAAAATATCATGAAGAAAAGATTGAGATTTTTTTAAAACTATCCCTATCCCTATTATGTGTGTATGTATGTGTACAAACTTAGGGGTTGTTTCTTATAGAAAAGAATGAAATTGTTAAATATTGTTTGCTTGATTTTTGACGAACAAATCATTTTGAAAACAACTATGAAGAAAAGATTAGATTTGTTTTATTAAAAACAACCCCTANCACCACCATAACTGACATATTGTTTTTTTAAATTCATTTCTGTATTTGTCTTTTTAGTTTTCTTAATTCATAAGATAAATATGAACGTTCACGGTTGAAAAGATGTCTGGGTGTGTGTTTGTGTGTGTGGATGAACTGCTAGAAACTATGAGGATTTGTGTTTGTGTGTGTGTGTAAAATGAATCGAGCGAGATTATGTTTGGGGGCTTAGCGCGTTTTCCTCGGCTACTACTTAAACTGAAATAGGGGTTATTTTCAGTAGGTTCTTCTCAAAGGAACTAATCCCCTAGATACTTTGTAAGGTTCTATGCTCAGCTGTTCGAAGGCATTTCAAGTAATTACTATGATATTACATAAGTTATCTAGCTTCTATATTATGCTTCGATGTAGTATTACGCGTGGGTAAAACTTCAGCATCAGTTTATTGAATACTTCCGTTGCTTACCTAAAAGGGATGCATGATTTATGCCCTTTTCTTTTGCTTTTGGTTTTTTTTTTATTTCTTCTGATGCCTTCTTTTTTTCTAAAGTAAATTCTATATGTAAAATTGTATTAGAATTATAAATAAGAAAAATAATAATATTAATAATAATTATAATGATAAGAAGTTTGTGGAATTTTATTTTGT